TGAGCTATGGTCGTGGATACCAAATAAAAAATGAAATTGACATATTTAGCATGAACATCCTCCTCTCTCAAACATATTTATCATGAAACAAGTAATTGACATATTCAGTTATGGTACACCACTTAATTATTGCCAACTTTGGGAGGTACGGGAATGTTCTATTTAAAATCTAAATGGCATGGAGTACCTGATAAAGCAGCATTTGCTCGAGTGCTAGAAGAAAGTTCTCCATCAATTTCTGCTTTCATGGCTTTTGCATCATCAAGCATTGATTTGTATTTTTCCCACTGTCTTTTTGCCCTCTATGTAACTAGCCACTGTTTCCAAACGATGCACAACAAGTATGATAACTAATTCCAGAATAAAGAACAGATTACTAAAGAAATTTAAGACCAACGTATTCAAGAAAAAATATTGATATATAGGGAAATGGAAATTTAGACAGATACGACAAAAAACTAGGAGAGTTTACCTCATTAGCCTCCAGTATACTTGCCAGCAAAGGAATACCCTTAGATTTTGCCCACATACGTGCACCTTCACGAACCAAGAAGCTAGGAAACACAAAAAATGCCTCATAAGAAAACAAAAATCTGAGGGAGAACAACGAATGGCATGCCCTAGTGAGATGCACTAACTCCTCACCAAGGATCACCAGTGTAGCCAAGAAAAAAAAGAGTTAGTGCATCTCACTAGGGCATGCCATTTGTTGAAGTAAGAAACTAATTTATTAGAAACTTGGAATGGACTCCTCAATAAATCATTTCTTTCAAATTTTGAATTAAAGACCAAATCACTGTAACTAATTTCACCCATTACCCTTCATGGTTTCACTTTATTTGAGTTTTACAAGCACTAAACATGTGTAGAAGGCAGATTCATATTCACTATTCACACATGATATGCATTACATAACATCTCTAACAAAATAATGTTGCATACTCATAATTTCCAATAAAAAATCCCCAACTCCTAACTCATGGACATGATATACAATATGAAATATAAACTAAGATGCAAAAGAAATAAATAATAAGTACTGTGACAATGCTGCGAGAAAGAGGTAATTTGTCTATCAAAATTCAAAGATAAACACAGCCATAATTACTAACAACAAAGACGGACTAAACATGCTCTAATAGAAATCCATTAAATAGACTAGCATTAAATTTTCTTTTTCAAGAACAAACTTCATTTCATGAATTCCAGCAAGTAAATATAAAGTAAGAAATTGGTCAGAAATTCAATGCAATAAATCAAAATTCATGAGTTTCTTACTGCAGAATGCAATCAACCAAAAACAAAGTTCACCTCAAACTTGCATTATCTAAGACACACATAAAAAATCCACACTATCAAGTCGAACTTAAGATACAATAAACATTTTAGTAGGCTACAGGGGAGGGGATAATGGTGTTCAAGTAGATACATTAAAGTCAAGGACAATAATTATGGAACTATAACTGGTAGAGAAATGATTGGGTTAGTGTCGGAGAGATGTATGGAAATGACAAAAGGCTTAACATCAAGAGGATTTGGGGTTTAGCAGAAACCATGATTCCCGATGGACTGGAAAGGAGAGATGGGATTCAACTAATACATAATTCATCACATTCTGATTCCTTATCCGCAGTGAAGCAATAAAACATCCTCTCTAACAAAAAAATGAGGACTATAATTAGTTGAATTGGTCTCCTTGTCTCAATGCCAGAAATGAATACAAGTGATGAAAATTCAGTAGTAGCATTAACCAAAGCCAACACAAGGAAAAATGACAACCGATTTAACCAAAAATTGGTCCAATTCAAAACACAAAAAAAGTGGATTAATTTCATCAAAACCCAAAAACCCAGAATAGAAAAATTCTCTATGAATCAATAGTATGCAACAAGAACACAAAATTATACACTCTGCAAGTGCCAAAGATTGAATTTATCCATAGTATGCAACAACAAGAAACAATGCCAAAATAAGATTCATTCAATCAACTTCCAAATGGGAAGAAAGGAAGGAAGGAAGGTGTTATTTTAAAATACAGGTTATTTTAAAATAAATTCCTAAAGTCGGGCAAATTTTTAAACTTATTTTTCATACCCAGATTTTTTCATAAAACATGATTTCAATGATAATCTTTTTTGGGAACAAAGGCAACAAAGCTCACAAGCAGCCAGAGAACAAAGCAGAAAGGAGAGCTCCATTAGCACATCAGGAAGGGAAAAAAAACCCTCCCAAAGAAGATCCGTTTGAAAGATAAATTTTTAAACTACTTGAATTTTGATCTATTGTTACCTACACATTTTGAAGAACAAAGAAAAACAGAGAGTGAGAGAGAATAATGGTCATCCACTTAATACTGACAATGGATATCAGAAGTAATGCTACTCTTTCTCGTGCATCACTGCATCAGTAGAAAAGTAAGTGTAAATACACAAAATTAAAAAACTAAAAAGGATAAAGAATGTACACATCAACACAATAAGGCTCACTGGAACAAATTAAACAATTTAACAACAAATTAAAAATTGAATAGAAAAATCATAGGAATCTTGGTGAGGAAGATCAAATTCAACATCAATTCACTCCACTAAACCACCAAAAACCATAGGAATCTCGAAATGCAAGCGAAAATCAACAAGTAAGAATCAAAAAATAAGAGCTAGAGAGAGAGAAGGTACCGTGATAACATTCTTCGAAGAAGACTTCGGCTGAAACGATCGCGATGAAAGAACCTGAATACATAATTGCTGAGGTTGGATTGAGCAAAATAGCCTGTGTGAGCTGTTCTATTGCTTCCTCCAGTTTCCCTAATCAACCCAAAACCATCAAAATCAAATTATGAAAACATGTGTTTACAATATATACACGTGTGTGTATGTACATGTAATGAAATTAGAATGCTTTCAGAAATTGCTCCCATACCCTGCACCTTAGCCTCCTTCGAAGCATCACGGTTTTCTTCCATGACCTCGATAGAACAGTCTCTTATCTGCAAAATTCAGCATTGATAAGATAAAACATGTTACAAAATATCAAAATTCTGAATCAAGCTACACGAAAGTGAATTATATCATACCTTTCAAGGTAATCTCGGAAGAAAAAGAGAGAAAGATCGGAGAGGATTGAGGGATTGGACTTGCAATCATCGATGAATTACTTCAACCGGTTCAAGTTCGCGATCAGAGAGGAGACTGCACAGAGGTCGAATCGTTCGATACAGAGGAGTGTGTAGAGATCAATTAGGGTTTGAGATCAATTGATTGAGAATGCATTTGGCTTCGTAGTCTACATTTCCATGGCTCTCACTGAACCCTAACTTCAAATAAATTGATGAATTCAAAGCTTTTGGGAAAAAAAATGATCAAGAGACAGAAAAATTGATCGATTGGGAGAGAAAGTGAATGACATACATTGTGAAGCCATGCGAAGTCACGCGATCTATCAAGGCAATGCTCAAAGAGAGGTTGAGAGATCGCACGCGGAGAGAGAGAGAGAGAGAGAGAGAGAGAGGGTATGGAGAAAAACATGTACAGATAGAATGGGAGGGAGAGGGTGAACAAGGCTTAAAATAATGTTTTTGAGTTTTTTTTTTTTTTTTTTTTTGTTATTGTAAGTTTTTAAATATTTTAGATAATTTTTTTATTTTTTAAATTCAGATAATTTACATATACTTGGAAGAAAATTATTTTTTAATTTTTTTAAAAAAATCACTACACTAAATTAAAAAAATATAAAATTTAATACATTTGATACATATTATATTTTTTTATAAATATTTTACTTTTTAGTTGTATCCAAATTAGGCATATCTAAAAAGTAAAAAACAAATAAATTATTAAAAGACACTAAATTATAAAATAATGTATAAATTATTTTTTATCTTGTCCTCAATTAAAAAAATTTAAGGAGAGAAACTTGGTTGGAAATTATTAGCTTTTTTAAATAAATAAAAAAAATATTAGATTGAAATTTTTTTTAATAAAAGTTTTCACGACATTTTAACGCATGCCGTATAAAGTTATAATATTTCATGACATGAAATGTATGTCGTCTTAAGTGCAAATATTTTACAATATATTTTTTGTATGCCGTGAAAATATGTATTTTTTACGGCATGCTTTTGGATGCCATAAAAAAAATCTGATTGAATTTTTTTTTTTTTAAAGAAGTTTTCACGACATGTTAATGCATGCCTTGTGAAGTTATAATATTTTACAACATGAAATGTATGTCGTCTTAAATGCAAATATTTTACGACATATTTTTTAAGTCGTGAAAATTTACAATTTTTACGGCATATTTTTGTATGTCATAAATATATGAATTAATGACTTACATGTTATGTATGTCGTTATTGAAAAGATATTAACGGCTTGCCAAAAAAAAATGTCGTAGAATGTACTAACTACGACATGCATTTGATGTATGCCGTAAACTTAAAGCCGTAAATAGTTAGTTTTGTTGTAATGTTTCATACTCAAAGTGATGAAACGTGTCGTATTTCTTGGTCGCTATCACCCTTGATCATGCATGATAGGGTGGAGGCTCTTTGTGTATTGTTTGTGCATTCACTAAGCTTGTGCAAGCTTGGTTTTTGGGCCATCATGCATTGAGATACTTGGTTGGTGGCTTGAGAGCCAAGTACCACACTCCTTTGAGCCTGAGAAATGATGAGGAGAGTGGTAGTGCATACATTTCCTTGCAAATACATTGTTGTGCCTCTGTTGTTCTCTGTTGCAGCAAAACCAGAAGCCTGGAAAAGCAGGTGGCCGACCAGCCACTTGAGGTAGCCGACCGACACTTATACTAGCCGACCGGCCAGTTAAGGTGGCCGGCAGCCACTTTTTGTGGCCGACCAGCCACTAGTCCATTTTTGTGCAGAAATGATCCTGTTTTGGAGTAGAAGCAGTATGGAGATTGATTCAATGTTCAGAGACTACGGCAAGTGTACACAGAGAAAACCGACGGCAAAGCAATGGATTTCCAAGCGGAAGCCAACCGAGCATGCATATATCCCTCGCCCGCGAGGCCACTTTGTTGCTTTAATTAGCTTAGTGTAGTTGATTATTCAATTTGTGTTGTACTATTTTAATTAGCTTATGTAAGATATATTGATAGAGAGAGAGAGAATAAATTGTATTATTGATTGATTTGTTGATATGTAGTATTACAATGATTCATGATTCCTATATATAGAAGAGGGTGAGTGTGTAGTAGGTAAGGAGTAGGTGAAGTGGAGGTGGTAGTGGTGTAGTGGGTTAGGTTTAGTGGAGTAGGTGAGGTAGTGGTGTAGTGGGTTAGGTTTAGTGGAGTAGGTTTAAGTGGGTGAAGTAGGTGGAGAGTAGGTGGATTTTAACAGCCCCCCGCACAGATTTGCCCGTGGTCTGCTCACTCTCTTTCCCGACCTCAACGAGTCAACAAGAGAGAATTATTGATTGATATAATGTTGTATCAATTACAATGATTCATGATTCCTATATATAGAAGAGGGTGAGTGTGTAGTAGGCTGTCTTTCATCACCAGATAGGCTGGAACATAGAAGTATATGTCGACGATATGCTAGTCAAGAGCAAGCTCTCCATTGATCATCTGGCCGACCTGCGAGAGACCTTCACTACTCTGGGAGTCGCTGCGCAACTTTGTCACCCGCTTCAACACCGAAGCCCTGCAGATGGTGGAAAACGATGACAAGGTCATCCATAGGGTTTTTATAAACATTGTTGTTTGTAGAGTAGTTCAGAATCTGGGGTTGTAACTTCTAAATGTTTATCCTTGTACTCTGTGACTGTCATTTTCTTAGCAACCAAATGGAGCATCAAAAGATGGGTCTCGCCAATTTTTATTCTTACACTTTAAAATTGACTTATTCTGATAGTTATCTGTTCAAATGTACTCAAATTTGAATGTTGTTATCTATAATGCTATTTCTAGAGTATCTATGCATTTGGGTTTATAAATGTCTTACTTTCTTACTATTACTTTGGTTGCTGTGAAAACCAAAGTAAAACAAAATAGATTGTGATTTATTCATTTACTTTCTTACTATTACTTCCATGTCTTCTTCTTCTTCTACATTCCCCCCCCCCAATTGACAAGAATGCTTTGAAGTTCAAAACAAAACCGTTGGAGCACGTGGAACTTATGCGAAGGGTGTACGAAGGTGCCACGGCAACTGGAAAATTTGCATGGACACTCGATGCAGATTTCAAACCAGTCCCAACGGATGACATGCCTTTGCCTATGGATGAAGAAGATTGCGAGGACAATAGCAATCTGCCCCCTTTCTAGCCTGCCCAGCACAGTGAGCACACTATGGAGGATTGTTATGCACCTGTGGAACAAACTCCCGTGACAGTATGCACTGCGTCGTCGACAATTCACGTTGATGACACACCTACAAGTGGTGTGACCAAATGCAAAATCCAAGCCACAAAACAGTGGCATTGAAAAAAAGGGCAGAGTGAAGGAGCTTCGAAGTTGGCAAGTAGCATGGAAAACCTTATGTCCTCAGTCAAGTTACAACAACGCGAGGTCCAAGTGCTTCATGATTACGGAAATTTGACGCAGGAGGTGATTGGCAAATGCCTCACAACGTTATACTCTCTGCACGGTATTGATCCGGAAGACCTGCTAATACCTTTCGTTGTTTCGCTAATGGACAACCCGACAAATCAATCCATATTGTTGTAGCTTCCGACAGATGAGGCGGTCATTAGTTGGATGCAAATCAAGAAGTCTCAAAATTCCAGGGGCCCATCCGCGCCAACACATGGATCCGGAATGGGGGGCTAGTTTTGAGGACATGTTTCACCTCATAGTTACTGAAGTTTCAATATAAACAAACATATCTGCTTGTTTGTTTGTTTGGTTGTTTTTTTTTTTGTTGTTGTTGTTGTTTTTTTTTTTTTTTTTGTAAAATTGTGATCGGGGTTGATCCCTGAGATGAATAAAATATGGTTTGTTGTGCAAATTGGTAAATTGTGTTGTTTTTTTTTTTTTAAATATAATATAATATAATAAAAAGAGATATATATATATATATATATAAAATAAAGAAAGTGGGGAACAAGTGTGTATCAAGAGCACCAATCGGTGTCCCCCATGTTTTCCTCCTCCAACCGAGACCCAGAGAGAGGGAGATTGAGTGGGTGCATGATGATGATGTTGGGTCCATGGAGAGAGAGAGAGAGATTGCCCTCCTTGAGTTTGATCTGGCCAGATCCAGATCCAGAACAGGGGGAACAAGGGGAAAGTGATGAAAGTGGGTGCAAAGCCAACCATGAAGAAGTGGAGCCTTGGGAATAATTGCACCCACTTGCAAGCTTCCTGGCTATGGAACTGCTAGCATGCTTGTAATGCTCAGCCTTTGTTTTGTGTAATGAAAACAGAAACAGTGAGAGAAAGAGAAACACAGCTTTCAATATAAAACCCATCCTGGATTCCAAGAGGAGAGGGACTTGGGTTTCTTCAACATTTGCAGCCAAAGAGAGACAGGTGGCAGCTGCAAGTTGGATCATCCATGGCTTATCTCTCTGAAAATGGCGGCTAGAAAGAAACCTATCTAGATAATTAATGGCAAGAATTGCAGTGAGAGCTGTGAACCCATAATGAGCATTAACTTTCAACATCCATTCCACAGCCTCCATGCGAGCCACACAGATTGCAGAGTCTGCGGTGCCATTGTTGTCATCAAGGTTGAGTGCAAATCCATTCATCAAGGTTGAGTGCAAATCCATTATTCTTCAGAATTTCAGCCACAGTGACCACTGTTGCAATTGCCATTCCAAGAGCAGACAGCTCAACCTCATTATATTGCTGCATATACCTCTTAGCGAGGTTGACATAGAAGAAGAGGGGTTTCTTGGTGTTGGAGACCTGGATGCGGTTCCTCTTGTGAGATTCAGAGATCCGGACATTGACTGTTGATATGAGGGATGAACCTGAAGCACGACCTGTTCCAAAAGCAAAGATTGAAATAATGCTGGGAAAGAGAGAGAGAAGCTCTTCATCTTCCCAAAACAGGTCATGTTCCGATACCAGCAGATGGAAAAGAGAGAGATTATTATCACTTTCTCTCTCCTCTCCTAAGCTCTCTATTCCTACAACAACTTCCTCCTCCTCCTCCCATTGTTCTTCCTCACAGTACAGAGAATCTTCTAATAGAAAAGAATGGTTTTGCTGGTGTTGAAAAACTCCAGCGGGCAGCGAAGGCATGGTTGCCGGCCGGCTGCCCGCCGGAAAGAAAGGAATATAGGCCTAAATCTTATAGCTCTGATACCATGTAAGATATATTGATAGAGAGAGAAAGAGAATAAATTGTATTATTGATTAATTTGTTGATATGTAGTATTACAATGATTCATGATTCCTATATATAGAAGAGGGTGAGTGTGTAGTAGGTAAGGAGTAGGTGAAGTGGAGGTGGTAGTGGTGTAGTGGGTTAGGTTTAGTGGAGTAGGTTTAAGTGGGTGAAGTAGGTGGAGAGTAGGTGGATTTTAACAGCTTAGCATAGCTATTTGTTTCAATTTGGTTTGTAATATTAATTAGCTTAGCATAGTTAATTATTTGGTTTGTAATAATTGGCTTGGCTTAACTTAGCATAGCTTAACTTATTTATTTGGACCCTCCTTCGCGAGGGCACAATGTTGTAATAAGGGTGCGTGTGTGTGTGCATGTCTTTCAACCCCATTTCTTTCTCCCATTTACTTAACCGCTTTCGATGATGGTTAGTTTTAGGGCATTTTTCGATTAGCATACCTTATGCTTTGCATGTTTGCATCATTCATTTGTCTTGCATGCACCGGGCTCAGCGCATCATACAAACTGCATCGTATGTCAATACTTACTTGAATACGTGTTTCAAAGCTTGTTATCAAGTTGCTCCGTATGCCATGATTAGATAGTCGAGCCTATTTAGTTGCATTTTGCATGTGTTGCATTAGGCATCTTGTATAGTTAGGAATCATGCATATTTCTAACTAGCCTTTTGTTTTGGCTCGGAGTACACTGTAAGTGTTACGCTTTAGCATACTTGCATGAGTGTGAGTGTTATCATGATAGCATGCTTGCCATGAGGCTACTTGCTTAAGTGATTAACTACATGAATGCTTGTGGGTGAAGGCTAGATTGCCTAAATTGGAACAACTCGATGATTGTGAGTTTTAAGTCCACTTTGCGAAGTGGCAAAATCATGCTTTAAAGCCCACTTGAGAGTGGCAAATCCGCGCTTTAGCCCGCTTGCGAGTGGCACTTTCAAACCATTTTCGAAAACAAACATGAATTGCTTTGTTCCAATTCTCGTGATTGAGTCTATACTTATATGCTATGTGCATCACATAGTAAGTTAGCTAAAAAACCAGAATAAGAACACATGAGGTTTATAAAATAACATAGCATGGTAGTAGAGGCCGATCCTTTGATCGGGCGAGTGGGGGTGCTAATTTCAGGACCTTCCCCTCTCGTACCCAAGTTCCCGAGCCGAGGTAACTTTGGTGATGATGGACACGTGCCTTTGGCATGAGTCAGGGTTTCCTAAATTTTTCAAAATAAAATATTTAGGTGGCAACTCTGTAATCTGGCAAAGCAGTCCATGTTTGGCGCTTTTTATTCAAAATCGATTTTCCAAAACGATTTGTCTGATTTGAACTCTTTGGTGTTTATCAGTCTCACATTGCACTTTGTGAGATTAGATTCAGAACCGTGATAGAAGTCCGAACTGTAGTAAGACCAATTCGCTCCTTCTCCCGAAAGGAGAACGAACAATATGTTCAGGCACTAAATCAGAATAACCAATATATGTCACAGATGATGGAATCAACATTTCCAACTCCGACGACACACGGTTTAGCAATACAAATTAAACAAACACTTGGATACATACGAAAAGAACGTCTAAACCCACATGGCCATATCAACAACACAAAACAGATGGAGAAATGTTATTTTTTCAATTTACGTAACATCCTTCCACTGGCATGATCAATGCGACACCATTGCCTAACCCACTGACATTGCCCATGAACCACAACACCACAAACAACCCCAAATCAACAAACACCCACAAAAAAATTGAGAAACACAAATCAAAATGGGGAAAACACACACACACACACACACACACACACAAAAAAAACCTTGCATATGCCATTCATTTTCAAATAAACAGTCACATATTACACATCGTCAAAGCAAAAATCCTAAATCAATAAAGACCCACAAAACTTAACTACCCATTTCCGAAATGAAATTAGTGAACGAATATTGAAGTTACTTACGTTTGGGTCCCATGATCGCAGCTCACACACAGTAGCATGACGGCATCTGCGACTGATTCAAAACCAAACACTTTGTCGATTACCACGAGTACTACGAAGCGGTCGAAATATTCTGCAAAACACACAATACGCTTTAGGGTTTGTATGCAGCACACTATGTCACATGCCTACCTAATCACAAATTGAAAGAGTTTTAGAGACATTCAAATTTGGAAATACGATTTTCCCCAAATCGCATGAATGCAGCTCATCCCACATTTCACACCTCTCTGACTTTCAAACGAGGAGTCTCTAGAACACTCCATAGGTAACACACGTGTTGTATGTCACATCAGGCGTGTGACATCAGCAACAACCCCAATTCAAACAACCCAGAAAGGAGTAAGCTTTTTATTAACAATACGTTACACCCAAACTAATAGCCCCATCCAAATGTAACATCCAATTCAGACATAACTAACCATAATAACTTACACATATGGGTGGATACAAATCCAAAATATGTGACATCCAAAAGCCACACATGCCAAAACCCCAAATAGGTATTAGTATACTTTTCCTAAAGGTTACACCCAAACTGATACGCCTAATAAACAATATTGGTACGATCAACTAACAAGTGACAGTCTGATCTTTACACATCAAATAGGACCAAATGAAATACATAAAGTCTAGTTGGAACATAATTCCAATATATAAGATTTATTGGTAACTCACCCTTAAATTTGATCATATTAGTTTTTTTTTTATTTAATCATTATCACTATATTCATCCTCATCTTATATATTAACTGCTAAAAATTCACATTTAGCCAATGATCACACCAACCATTGCATAAGAATTTATTTATTTTTATTGTCTCCATTATTTTCTTAGGTTTCCCTCTCCCTCTCACTTCCCGATTCCTTACTGTTTAGTGGAGCCACAAATGATTTCTTTTTATACATTCCAATAGGGTTGTTTCTATTAATTATATATATATTATTTTCTTACTTGCTTTTAATATCATATATTTATATATATAAATATATATATACACATTTATCTTGCGTAGTGGTGATATATAGACTGACACATGAGACAAGTTAGTGAAAAGGGGAAAACAAGAAAATGTTTATTTCAAAACACTAACCAATATACATAATTTATGTCATACCTCACTTTTTATTACACAGCTATCGTTATCAAAATTTATTATTATAGTCCATTTTCATTTATACAATTTGGAAACAAGTCCACCAACATCCATAAATATAAAAAGGTTCCCTCAATCGTACATACATGAAGAAATACAACATGAATTACAATATTTAAGTGCTCGTAGGCTAACACTATTACATAAAAGAGAAAGGGTTCAACCCTTTTTACAATAACGGCATTCCGCTAACAAATAAAGGTCTCACGACCAACAGCTAAAGAAGATCTTTGATCTTGAGTCACTTCTCAACATATACCTAAAAAAAGATTAGTAACATGAGATGAACATAAAGTCTAGTAGAGATTCCAACATGATCCTAAAAAATAACAATATATAAATAATTATGATCATGAATGCTTCATATCATACTATATAAATAATATAACGATTTATAACCAAAATATACCTATATAAGTACTTTTTCCAAAAATCATTCAGCTTATTCATCACACAAAAGATCCACTTTTTTTTCTCATTTCTCATTTCATAAATATCACATAACAACTGGTTTGTTTAAAACATGTTCACAAAAACTTGATTATTTCTCATTACTTAGGCCCCAATACCTGACCTCCATTAATTTCCAATACGTTCATAACATTTCCCGACCTTAAGCCCATGGTGAAGAAACACTTTCAACAACTCGTCCAATAAGCCTATATACATACATATATATCTTAACATGAATACGAAAACAATAAATGTGCAATGAACACTACACTATCACAAAAGACAACCCGGCCTCATCTAACCATAACCATTACCATGCATGATATACACGGATACACCGAGACAAAATGAGGAACGAAACAATGATCTACCTGCCTCAAGCACAGTAAGCCAAGGATACACATTTCCATAACGAAATGCCCATTTACCAGACACAAGCTAGAAGGTAATGGTACCTCTGCCAATTTACCAGACATCGGCTGGATGATAATGGTACCTCTATCAAGTTCACCAAGCGCTAGCTGGAAGGCACTAGTACCTCTCATTCTAAGCGCGTATACATTACCAACCATCACAACATGCTAAAAGCATAAATAACACGAGTGTAATACATGCACATAATCTATTCAACACATCAATTTCATCCTCCACTGATAACTAAGGACAAAACCTCTAAGCACATGCATGTAATATGCGTAACAATGATCCAATTCTCATGAGACATTAAGTCCAACAACAACAATAATATATAAAGTGTTCAAAATCCAACCTCCTGTTCATTCTCAATTTTCAAAGTGTTACTATTTCATTTTTCCTTTCAAAAATCAATTTCCTTATTTTTCCAAATTCACAAAACTCCAATCTTTATCCAAAATCCATTTTTCCTTCATTTAACAAAACTCAATCCATAGATATCAAAACCACAACCCAACTCAACTGAACTCAACATATGTTAATAAAAAACAATCCTAATATCTCGGTTAACTTTTTAACAATTGACACATTAATTAAATTTCCATAATATATATAGCACAACAATTACTCAACTTACCCCTTTACATTTCATCAAATCCTTGAGAATAAAAATTAGGATTTTTTCTCCATTCATAACATAAATAAGATAGACTACCTTCCCAAAAAAAAAAAAAAAATCCTACAACATACAATCTCACTTTCCAAAGTTTAAAACCCAAAAACCCTGTTTCATGGTTTTGCAATCATATAACTAAATCATGCCCCTTTTATGCAATAAAAATATACCACATGTTCATCTATAAAGAAGTATTGAAAATGAGCAAAGAAATCACTACCTCAAACAAAAAGATGAGAAACCCAAAAATTTGATTTCACCGAAAATACGATCTGCTCAGATTAACAAAAAGCTCTCTTCATACACTCT